TGCAGGGCAGGAGCTGTGCCTGCAGTGTCCCACCCGCGGCACGCAGCGTGCCAAGCGCACATCCCGGGGATGGGCGCTGGGATTCCTGGGCAGTGCTCGGATGGACGTGGATAAAGGGCTGCCAGCGGCTCCTCGGCCAGGGGCTGCTCCGAACGGGCATCCTGGAGATGCTTCAGCCCGGACAGACCCCACCCACACCCCAAAAATACCCCAAGCTGGCACTACTGGGAATGTCGGCACTGTGCATTTGTGGAGAGGTTCAGACAGCAATTCCTGGTGCCGACCTGGAGCTCCCACACACCCCCAGGTATGACCCACCCACCCCAAATCCCTTCCAGCCCAGGGACACCATCCATCAGCAGCATTAAAGCCAAGGGAACCTTCCCTCATACAGAAATTAAACTCCGAGCAATAACCCTCAGAGATGCCTTAAAATAAAAGGTTAGAGTGGGATGAAGTTTTGTTTGGATTAAACTTGGAATTTTTGAGGGAGACAGCTGGAACTACAGAACTGATGGAGAGCTTTCACAGGAGGGTACCACTGGAGGTGTGCTGAAAGCAGGGATGTGCATGTTTCCTCAGGGTAAAGAACTTCCAGAGGCCACTCCAGAGGTTCTGAAATGAACTCAGCTTCTTCAGAGAGAGATGACCTCCCCTGGGCCCAGGAGCTGCCTCAGCACTGGCCAGGAGTGTGTGCGGCCACCACTGTCTCCTGCTTTAAAATATCGACTGGAGCCTGACCTCAGGGGGATGAAACTGGCTGAATTCCAGGGGACTCTGTCAAGTGTCCCCCAGGGACATCGGTGGGGCTGGGGAATGAGTGATATAAGTAGCAAATTCTATGGATTATAAACCTGTCTTTGTCCTGATCCCACTGAGCTTCCCTGGAAACTCTGCTGGTTCCTGACACAGCTGGTGTTAAAGTGGCAGCTCTGCATAGGAATATGCACATTCCATGAGGCACTGTCAGGTTATTCCAGCAGGAAATGTGGGGCTACAGGTATAATTCATCTGAACTAGCAAAGCTGATACTGAACCCCAGATCTGGGCATCACACAGAGAACAATCTTTGTGCTGTCCTGTCAGGTAAAGGCTGGGAAATTTCAGCAGCCAAGTGTATGGAAAGATCTAAATCCCAGCCCCCAGCATCCCCCAGAGGGGGACAATTCAAGTCCAAGGGTGGGAGCTGGTGTCCTTTCCCTGCTGCTGGTGGGACAAATTCCCTCTACACAGTTGACCCTGGCTGGGTGTGAGCTGAGAGCAGGAGAGGAGGGAGGGTGGATCGGCTGCCCAGGAATCTCTGGGAGACGAGGCTGCTGGAATCCCAGCTGAAACATTCTTTCCTTGCAGAAGACAGGAGCCAAAGCAGATCCCTCCTGGCCAGGCTGTGGGCAGCAGCTGGATCTGCTCTGGGGGAAAACACCCTGCCCCTGCCAGGAGCTCTGACTGCTTTTCCTCCCAGCTCCTGAGCAGTGTAGGGCCACTGTGAGGGAGTTCAAATCCAAATAAACCCCACAGCCCACGGAGTGAGTAATCCCAACAGAGAAATGCAGTGTTGTCATAAAAAGCTTAAAGATCTGTTAAAAAGGCTATGACAACGCAGTAATGGGATTCCCATGAGCTTTCTTAGTATTCTTGGTTCCATTTTTATGTATTTTTAATCCCTCAATGGGCAGCTTATAGAATTTATTCTGGGACCTAGAGGTTGAGCAGGGCTGGCTTTGGACTGACCTTCACCTCTGGTCCCACTTTGCACAAACACAACTTGGGCTGAGCTGGGTGATCACCTCAGCTTTTCCCTCCAGAATATCCCCTACTTCTTTCCCTGCAGATGAACTTGGATTTTGCCCCAAACTGTCCCCAAACTCACCTCCACTTGCCCTCCCGGTGTCCATTCTGTTCCCCACAGGTGCCCTGGTGACACCAGGGAGGTGCCCACAGTGCCTTTCTCTCCAGCCAGAGGCCACTCTGCTGGCTCTCTTCAGTCTGGTCCCACACAGTGGGGCACAAAAGGGGAAAGGTTTGAGAACACATCAGCACGTTTCTGTGTTTCAACAAATCTCTCATCAAATTATCTTTGTGTCACTTTCCATGTGAGGTTTATGTGTCAAAAATCCATGTTTTCCTATTCAGACTAATTTTGAAGTTTTTCAGGAAATCATGATCTCACAGGACTAACACCTCTCAACACCAATTGCTGCTTCTCTCTCTGCCAGGGCACCAGCAAGAAGTTCTGGGTCAGTTCTTGTTCCATGCTTGCCAGTGACCTCAAGAGAAAAAGGTACAGCTATTGCTATTAATTATTGCCACATATTTTGGGTTCACAGTTGGGTTACATTTCTATTATATTCTGTAAATAAAAGGAGACAGACATCAACCTACTAGAGCTGACTAGTCCATTCCCTGCTCTCCCAAACCCTTCAACCACTCTCCCAAACTCAGCACTGCTGCAGATCTCTACAACAGAACAGCAGTTTATTCACAGGGGGTTTCTCCTAACACACATTTCCCATAATGTGTCCAGAGCGATCCAAGTCCTTATTTTACATCTCCACAAGCATGGCAAAAGCCCCAGGTACACAGGAGCACCAAATTTTAAGTGTACCAATAGAAGCAACAACAGATTTAAGTATTATTCTTCACACAACAATTAATCAAACTAACTACACTTGAAATGCTTGGTGTGGGAGGGTCAAGAGAGCTTCTGTCTATCTTGAAGTACAAAGCATGAAAAGAAAATTAATTTTTTCCACAAAACAAAATTTAAGAAAATATAATAAAAAATAATGCCATACACTAGGAACTGCCTTTTTAATTTTAAGGTTAGTGTCCTAGAACTCAAACATCCATTACAAAGAAAAACACACATGAAATTGACAAAAACACCAAATACTGGACAAACCTTCAAACAAGGATCATTCTGGAAAATGGGCTCATCCAAAACCTTTCTCCATCCTCAGGGATCGCTGCACTCACTCCAGGGTACTTGTCAGGAAAAAAGGAGCAAGTGGAGACTTTATGGCTTCCCTGGGATCTTTTCTCCTTCAACCATTGCGGGCAGTGACCGGGAAATGCTCTCTGGGAACCCAGTGTGAGGAGCACGGGTGGACTGCTGACAGGGGTCAGCTTATCAAGAATTTGCTTCCTTGACTGTGTTTTAAACCCAGAACCAAAGTTCCCCCTGCACAGCTCCCAAAACAGTAACAACCTGTCACTTTCGATGTTTGTAGGATCTAGTTTGCTGTAGGGCTTTTGGGGGTGGGGTGGGGAGAGTTTCATGTTTTGAAGAAACACTGAAGGGCTTTCCTGTCCTGCCCAGGTACAATTTGCTGTCAGCCTGGGCATCCCACTTCAAGGCTTCCTTCAGCAACGCTAACAAAACCTTCTGGGTGTCCGTGTCCATGCTGGTCCTGCTGGCTGCTCTCACGAGCTTCCTGATGGGGCTGTCCCTGCAGAGGCCAGCAGATGCAGCCCCTGTGGGCACTGGGGACTCCTGGACACTGGTGCAGCAGCTGCTGTGGCCCTACACAGGACTGCAACACAACGGCCCTCCCCCGGTATAACCCCGGCTCTGCTGCCGGAGCTGCGCTGCCACGCTCTGCCGGACAGGAGCTGAGGCTGCCCTTGATTTAAGGTTACGTGTCTGGGTTTCTTTTGTTGGGTTGGGGGTATTTTTGGGGAGGAGATTTATTTTTTTATTTTAAAGCATGAATTGAATTTTTTTTTTAAAAAAGGTGTTTTTTTCGCCATTCTGGCAGAAGTTATCTTTAAAAGTAGCTAAAAGGGTCTCAGTTCTGTAGAGTTTACAATAGAACAGCAATTTTTAACATTGTTAACAATAAACACGTCTAGGTGGTCTAGCCACAAGAGAATAAAGAATTTATTTTGCTTGAACAAAGATAAAATGTTTGCATTTTAGAACCTGTTTCAGTGATTTGAACAGAAAAGGATTTAAGACTTGAAATGTAACTTTTTTGAAAGCTTTTGATAATAAAGTTTTGAAGGAAAGCTTGCCGTATCTAAGAGTATGCTAAAACTCTGGTAGCAAGGAGCAGCTGATACACAGAATCAATAAACAGGAAGCCAGCTCTTTCCACTTTATCCATGGCTTCATTGCTGGCAGAAGCCTTGAGCATATGGTAGAGTGTGGAGTGAAATTCAGACTCTTCTTCCAGCTCTTCTGTAAAAGCTTCACTGGTTTCAGTGAGCTTGAGGTTTTGTACTTTCTCACCATTGAACATATAAAGAGACCAGTCGTTGTCTTTGGCAGAACCCACTGTAAGATGTTCACTTGCCTATGGCAGGAAAAAATGCACTGTGAGGTGAAGCCTGTGCCACTGTCAGAGTACAAATCCTAATATTTGTGTGCCACATGCATTTAGCCTAAGAGTGAGAAAGCCACTCCAGCTTTCAGCAGGGGGGTGTGTTACCTTTCTCCAGCCACACCTGCGAGTGTTTGTCTGGCTGGGAGAAGTTTTAACCATGTGTTTTAGTTCACAGGTGGAGACAAATCAACACTGAGGTTGCTTTTTCCCTCCTCTGCAGTAGGGAGCAAAAGAAACCCTACAGGCAGGAAGGAATTTCCAGCTGTTCTTTAAAAAGGTGGCAAAGCAGACTGCTAATTTTCAAGAGGCCTCTGAAGAGCATGAAGCTCTGTCACCCCAGCTCTGGCTAAAGCCTCCCTTGGTGATTTATCAGCTCTGTTTTCCTTAGCAAGTGTCTTTGCTGCTGAGACTTGTGTCTCCCGAGAGCTCTCTCAGGTGCAGTCTGTGACACTGCAGGGGCTGAAGCCACCAGGGGCGAGTTCATTGTTTCTGTCTGACTGGGGAAGGGGTCAGTGCTGGCCTGCTCTGGAAGTTTGGTCTGACTCCACAAACCTTGAACACGATTCGCTCTGGCCCTGCTTCTCCATTCCACTTGCTGTGAGCAAAAGCAAAAGCAGCTGCAAGCAGAGCCATCTGCTCATAGGCCTTCACTTCTGCCAGGGCAGCCTGCAGCGCACAAGTAGCAATCAGACAAAACAGATCTTGCTCTATTTCCCTGTGTTACAGCAATGTCAGGGCCTGCTGTACTCAGTCCCTGGCTCAGCTGGCAGCACAGCAGCTCCCAGTGCAGGAAAGGGTGACCTGACTGAAAAATGGGAGGGAAATCCACCAGGAAACTCTGGCACTCACCTTCCTGGGCACAGGGACATACTTGGGAGAGTACTCTGCTGGGAAAATGTTCACTCCAGCTCTTTTCAAAGCTGCTCTGAGGGCAAAAGGACTCATCCATTTTCCTGTGATGTGGGAAAGCACCTCCTCCTCTTCCACCACTACTGAGGACAACATACACTGATTATCCTGTTGTACAAACCAGTGAAAGCAACTT